GGAATGACCCGGAGGGGAGGAAGAGCAGATTTTCAGGAACAGCAATCGCTGGTTTATGCAGGATCCCGCCAATGGCAGAGGTAAAAGAGGTAGAACCCCACTCCCAGTGCTCCCAAGGCCGTGTCCTTCACTGGGAACTGTGGCATCACAAAAGCCACACTCCTGGGAGCAGCTCCTTGGAGAAGGAAGGAGCTACTGCCCAGCCCACAACCAGGAATCTCCTTTCGGTGCAAATCCCACCTGTATTCCTTGAGAAAGCCATCCCTGCCTGCCTGGAGATTAGGGCTGAACAAAACGAGCTTTTTTTGGCCCTTGCTCCCTCTCCCACCCCACGTCCGTCTGATCCACTTAGGCTGCAAATTCCTTGGAGCCAGTGCTCCTCCTGGGAGTTCACAGCCCCTTCCACCACCGTGCTCCGTGTTATTTGCTGCCTCCTAGTGTGCCAACACAAAAAATAAATATTGGAGCTTGTCAGGTTTGTTATGCTCCCCCAAATCACCTGTGAGAGCACTTGGGAATTGTCACTGGGGTGTGTGGAGCAGCTGGAAAGGCAAACACTGAGGGAAGGCTGAGCACAAACACTGCCAGTGCCAGCAGGGGAATGCTCCAGGTGCTCTGAGTGACTCCACCCTGCTTTTAAAATCCCAGAATGGTTTGGATTGGAAGGGATCTTAAAAATCATCTTGTTCCACCTCCTGCCACGGGCAGGGACACCTTCCACTGTCCCAGGTTGCTCCAAACCCTGTCCAGTCTGTCCTTGGACACTTCCAGGGATGGGGCAGCCACAGCTTCTCTGGGCACCCTGTGCCAGGGCCTCCCCATCCTCACAGCCAAGAATTCCTTCCCAATATCCCACCTAACCCTGTCCTCTGGCACATTGAAGCCATTCCACTTGTTCTGTTCCTCCAGAGCATTGTCTGAAATCCCTCTCCAGCTCTCTTGGAGCCCCTTCAGGCACTGGAAGGGGCTCTGAGGTCTCCCCGGAGCTGTCTCTTCTCCCAGCTGAAACCTTCTCTGGTAAGATGGAAAAGCTGCTGAACACAAACACCCAGCAGAGCTGGGAGAACCCTGGGGGTCCTGTTTTTCCTTCATGAAGCCAAGAGTCTGTGGAAGAGCCTTGGCCATGGATGCTGTGCCTGGTCTCTCTCAGAGCTGTCATTCTCTGGGTGTTTGTTATCCAAGCTGCCTGGTTTGCAGGGAGCAGGGCTGGGAATGCTCTCTTTGTTCCCAGAGCTGGCTGAGTGACGCACTCCAGTCATTCCTGGTGCATGGCAGACGTGTTTCACCAGCAGGGAACAAAGGAATGTCGGGTCCCCTAAGCTGCCACCTCGCTTGTGACTGGCAGCACGACACAAGTCCCCTTCCCTGCAGACAGGTGGGACATTAATGGGAAGGTGAGGTGGCCAGGGAAGTGCCAGCCGTGCCTCTGATTTGCAGCTCCAGCTGGAAACCCCTACAGAGCGTGGGCCAGGCTTTATAAAATAAAAGCTAATAAGAATCATAACAATTTTGCTTTCTCTCCATAGCCTGCAGCAAGCCAGGCACAACATGGGAATTGAGGAATAAAGGCCATCAACTTCCCGTGGCTCCCCTCCTACCACCTTCCTCTTCTTGCTCCAAATTGTTTTGAAAACATTGCTTTTCCCTTGCCTATTTCATTTCTGCAATGAAGTCATCAAACAAGATGACAGGGACTTTCTGAGACTCAAATCAATCAGCAAGTTTCTCTTTTGCTTTTTCTACTCAGGCAGGAAATAGGGGAATAAATTTTCCAAGTGTCCAAGGGAAGGGAAGGGGGCAATGGGTGCATTGGCTCCAGCAATGGGAGGTGTAAGAGAACAGATGGAACTTCCAGACCTCATCCAGCCCATCAAAAATAAATAACCCCCTACCATGTGTTTGTTCTGCTGAAGTTCCAGCAGGTCCTGAGGGTTTTCCACTGTCTGCTGGAAAAATGAAAGAGACGTTCCAAGTATATCCCATCCCCTCCCCCATTTGGTTTGGAAAAGAGTCATCCAGAGATCTCCCTGCCCACCCTGGATGGATATTCCACTTTCAGGACTAAAAATCATGTTCAAATCATGCCAGGTTCAAACTCAAATCATGGAATCACAGAATCATGGAATATGCTGAGCTGGAAGGGACCCACAAGGATCATCCAGTCCAATCCCTGGCCCTGCACAGACACCCCAACAATCCCACCCTGTGCATCCCTGAGGGTGTTATCCAAACACTCCTGGAGCTCTGGCAGCCTTGGGGCTGTGCCCATTCCCTGGGGAGCCTGGGCACTGCCAGCACCCTCTGGGCAAGAACCTTTTCCTGATATCCAACCTAAACCTCACTGACACAGCTCCAGCCATTCCCTGGGTGCTGTCCCAGATCTCAGAGAGCAGAGATGGTAGTTGCCCCTCCAATATCCCTCAGGAGGAAGCTGCAGACAAGAAAAATCTCTTCCTGCAGTCTCCTCATGTATTTTATGAAGATGACTGAAGGTAATGGAAAGAGCTCATCCAGCAGGATCGCCCCCTGCAATTTCTTCTGGGTTTAAGCAGAATAAAACTAATCATAGGGGTTGTCTCAGCTCAGGCCAGGGCTGCTATTGGAATAGTTTGGCACTTCAGATTTACCAGGATACGATGGAATAATGGCTGGGTAGTGGAATTTTCAGCACACAGGGGCAGGAGCAGCCGTTGTCATTATTTTATGATGATTTTTATGCTGGTGCCTTCACTATTCCTCTCCTCTATTCAGCAGGGACAGGCCCTGCATGGGAAGCATGGACTCTGTGACTGCATCCCGTTCCTCCAAAGGCATCAGAATGTGGGCAGAGAACAGTCATTTGCTTGTACATTATGCAAGGAAAGTGCTGACCCAGTAGCACAAAAAAAAAAAAAAAAAATCCCTGTCAGGAGCCAACAGGTTTTACCGGAAAACCATTGGATTTCAACAAGAAGATTTAGGGTTTGGAATGAAACCTTGACAGTTTGCCCAAAAATTACTTGTTCATTTTACAGCATTCTCTCTGTTGAAATGTGTGTGTTCTCCTCTTCCAGAAGAAGGGAATGAAAGGGAAAATGACGACACCGACCAAGCTCCGTCAGCGCATTCCTAGCGGCAACTTATTTCAGGGAAGAATTATCTCAGCTTTACTTTAATGAGGATCAATCAGGTTGGTAACTAACACAGCTTTTTTTTTTTTTTTTTTTTTTGTGAGGCTTTAAGTCCTTTAAAGATGAGGGTGTTTATTAGGGAGCCTTCACCAAGGTTTTATGTCTTGCCTGTAAAGAGGCACAGCTGTGGCCAAAACATTATCTCAAGTGGAACCAAATGTTGGCTCCATTTATTGGTATTTATAATGGATTTCCACATAGGCAGAGACCTTAATTTGGTCTTTTTTGGGCTGGGGATGCAAGGAGGGCAGTCATGGAATGCCTGGCTGGTCCCTCTAGCCTCCCTGAGCAATGCAGAATCTTTCAGGATGGCACCTGGGGAATGGCAGGGGGTTTGCTGATGGCTGGGACCCTCTGGAAGGTGACATGGACAATCCATGACAGGGATTACAAGGGGGGACAATATTTGTGCAGAGGGCTTAGAGGCACCAGGAGCTCAATTCCAGGGCACATAGGGTTAGGGATTTGCCTTTTGCCCCAGGGGTGCAACCAGCACAGACCCTTAGGTTCAAGTTTTGTGCTGAACCTTTGGGAATGCTTGGAGATTTGAGCTTGGAGAGTGAGAGCCTCGCTGCTCTTTGTCTGTCCCTGGGCAGGTTGAGGCTGCCACCAAGGTCATCAGCTCCCCCTGGGTCACAACCATGTGTCAGTCCCCCTTGGGAGCAGAGATTTTCCAAGGATGAGCTGCGAGGGTGCCCTGGGACAGGAACAGCTTGGGGCATTCAGTCCCCCAGCTCCACAGAGCAGCTCCAGCATGGGCACAAATCCTGGTGGGATGGGGACACAGCGCTGGCTCTGCTCAGTCCCTGGTGACAGCCGCCAGCTCCAGACAGCATCAGGACACTCTGATCCCTTTTCTGAGCAGCAGCGCCAGCCCCGAGTCCAAGCTTGGTGTTAATATGGAAATATGGATAAGAGCTTATGCTGTGACAATGATTTACTGCCTTGGTAACTGCACCTGATAACACAAATTTATCTTGGTCTCTCCATTTCAATTATATTTTTTCTAATGTGTGTTTTGAAATACAGATTCCCTCGGTCACAGGAATTTATGGCAACGACAATGTGGCTGGGAGAATTCAAATCAGTACAGGAACTGTTCTTTGCCTCATGCTCCAGTGTCTCCTTATGTGTGTTACACCTGCTGTTTAATGCATGTTTTCACAAACTCTGTCCAAAATATGGGAAAAGAGAAGGCAGGCACAGGCAACATCACTGGGATTTGGTGGGCATCATTCCCAAATGACCTGCTGGAATTTGGCCACAGCAGTTGGATATCTCAAGGTTTGCATTCTGGGTGGGGATATTTGCTCGTGGCCTCATGGGGCTGAATTTTCTGGAGGTGCTGAGGTGCCAGAGCTGTGCTTCCCACTCTGCCAGAAGGGCTGGAAGCTAGCAGCAACTCAGAGAGCGAGACTTATCCCTCCTCCCTTTGAGACAGCTTGGAGAAGACTCAGCAAGGGAGCATGCATCCATGGAAAACACACATTGTGCAAGGGTTCTCCCTTGTTCCCAGCACTGCTCCTGGGAGGAAGCACTAACAGCTTGTTCCCTTATGGAGGAGGAAGCAGCAGGAATCTGAGTAGCAGCACTCTGCCTTCCCAGAATAGGGGACAAACCCCCCATGGACTCTTGGTGCCTGCTTCCTGCTGTCACCAGGCAGGTCCCAAGCACTGGGATAAACAGCACTTAATCAATGTTCTGGGCAGGAACCCACCCCAGGCAGCTGCAGCAGCCACAGATCCACTCCTGCCACCAGCAGGGACTGAGGAACTTCTCAGCTTCCCTGGAGCTGGTGCTGGTGGTTGGGATGCTGGACACAAGAGAGATCTGACCCTGGAGTTAGAGCAAATGCCAGGGCTGCATTTGCCATTTGCATTGGTCCATAAATACAGAAATGTTGGAATTTTGCTAGGACATGTCACCAGTCCAGCTGCCCACACTTAGCAGCTGATAGCTGCCATCACTCATAGTCACCCTCCAAATTCCACCTAGAGAAATGGGGCCATTATTGCTCTGAGGCTGCTGCTGCTCTTTTCCCTGGCTGGGAAGAGGAGCAGCTCTTCCCAATGCTCTGGGAATGGCAGGTACAGGGGAGCAGATGTCAGGAACTGGCAGGGCTGGTTGTCTGGAACCAGATATCCCACCACAGCTTCCACTGAGGAGTGGACAGATGTCTTCCAGCAGATGGAAGGCAGATCTTTCCTTCTCCAAACCCAAATGTATCTCCATCACTCATGTGTGGATCCCACATCTTTTATCTGGCAACGTGGCCCAGCGATGTTAAATAAAGACATTGCTGGGCTTCTGTTATTCCTGGGATTTCTTTCTCCTGGGAGCTGCTCTGTCTCCTGGATGTGGCCACTGGAAATGCTGCAAAGGTGCTCAGGGACTCAGCAGCAAAGACTGGGAGGCTCCTGGCCAGCTTTCATTAGTGGTGAGGCACAGGTCATCCGAAGGTGAGGAGCATCTTTTGGAGTCTCCAGCCCTCCAGGAATGGCAGTGCAGAAAATGGAAAGCAGATTCCCACAGCCTTTCTCACATGTCCTGCCTCAGTGTGGAGCTGGTTTCTCTCCCTGAAGAGAATGTGGCTGACACTACCCCAACTCTGAGACCAAACTCTGCACAACACCTTAAAATCCAGTGTTGTTCCAGCAGGTCATTCCTGGAGCTAGGATGTGAGGAGGAGAGTTGGGATCTCCTGCAGTCCCCAAACTTCACATCCTCAGATCTTCTCAAGTGTTCAAAAATGAGATGGACACTTGCTGATATGCTCCTGTGGGCCATATTGTGGGGATATTCAGTTGCAGGTTGGATCTGATGATCTTGGAGATCTTTCAATGATTCCCTGATTCTGTGATTCCAAGGGCTGCCAGAGCAGGCAGCATTTAGGGAAATCTGGATTTATGAAAGGCCACAGTTTTTTTTCTTTGAAAGTTTCTCAACAAGCAGAGCTGAGGAGGGATCACCTCTGTCTACACAGATCTAGTATGTCTCTGGAATGTCAGATGTTCTCCCAGATGCTGGAGATGAAAAAGGCAGAGCTCCTCAGGCAAGGCAATATTCCAAATTCTGTTCAGGAGAGCTCTGATGGACATCAGAAAAGAACAGGAGGTATCGTTTTCTTGTCTGTAAAACCCAGAATAAATGGGCTGGAACCCAGGAACAGAGGGAAAGTGGAGAGCCACAAAAAGCTGTTCCAGTTGTTTTTCCTCCCAGTACAGGAAAAATGGGGTCATTATTGAAAAATACTGTGTTCCTGCTTTAAAATCCTACCTTTCTTTTATCTCAACCTGTCATATCTCTGATAGCTACCTGTAGTGGTGGGGGTGATCCCTCTGCAGATTAAGATCTGTTCAGTGCCTGGGAATGCTTGCATGGATGGAATTGTACAAAATGAGGACATTGCCATCATCATCATCATCATCATCATCACCATCACCATCATCATCATCACTGCTATTCCTGCTGCTGGTAGCTCCATCATTCTGTAAAAACAAGCCTCTCTCCAAGAGTCAGTGAGGAGCCCCAGGTGTCAATTCCCAGTGTTTTCAGGAGCTGCTGGGTTGTGTCAGTGCTCGCTGAGCCCAGGTTCCACCCAGCTGAGCAGTGGCAATAAAAGAGCCACAACTGGCTGCTCTTTCCATGCAGGATTCATTCCAAGCGTGGCTGTGCAAATATTTATTATTTGCACAAAGGGACAGAGAGGAACTTTTGTTCTTTGAGGATCGAGAGTCTGGGAAGGCTCTCTGTGCACAGAGCCAGCCTGGGGTACTCTGTCCTCTGCTGCCTGGAGGGACTGAGCTGAAGGATCTGCTGGGAGAGGAGAGATCCTGGGCTGTAATTCCCACCCCAGGGATATTTGCTTTGTTTTATTCCATGGATTTTGTGAAATGCTTGTTATCCAGTTTAGAAACAGTCAGAATTTTTTCTTCTGAGCACTTCTAAGCCATGGAGTCACAATGGGGAAACTTTTCCTTGTCCCTGCTCTAATTATGGTGAGTTTGTCACCCCTTGCTCACCTGCCCTGAGCCTGGAGACTGAGCCATGATCCCTCTCATTCCCAGCAGATTTCTCCAAAATTCATCAGTGTTTGGGCATCCTCAGGGAGACAGAGGACACAGCTCAGTCTGAGGGAGGCACTAAATCTGCATCTCCCCTTCCCCAGAACTGTGGGTGCTCCTCCTGCTCACTCAGTTTGGAGAGAAAATTCCTCTGAGGGAGATGAAGGGGTACAGGCTGGAAGTGACCATGGAGTTGGTCAGCTCCAAAATCCTTTTGGACATTCCTGTGATGCTCCTGGTCCCTAAACTCCACTTGAATTCCCCTGAGGGTGTTTGTGTCCATGGAGAAAGAAGAAAGAGTTCCCAGTGAGTCCAGGTCAGCTCCACTGGAATGTGAGACCCAGAGCTGCAGGTGGGAGTGGCCCTTCCCAAAGCTCCAGAGGCTGATGGGATAATTTGGATGAAAATCTCATGCTGTGATTCAGCTCTGAGATCACAGGGAGAGGGTTTGTGGTGCTCTCCCATCACACACAGGGGTGGTACCAGAAAAACACAGGATCTCAGCTTGCCTGCAATGGGAATTGTGGGGACACCACAGGGAGAAAGCAATTTGAATATAAATCCCACTCGACAGCCAATAAATCCAGATTGTGTTCCTTCTTCCCCTCTCAGTCAGGAAAAAAGTGCTGAAACTGGTCTAACAAAATACAAGAGTCTTTATAGTCAGAAAAAGAAAAAAGATAGAAAAGATTTATGGTGAGATTTTGGGCAGATTTGGGAAAAAGATGCAGCTTTCAATTCTGAGAAAATCCCTTTAGCTGACCTTAAAAAGATCAGAGTCTCCAGGTGTAATGAGACTGGAGTTTAGTGTGTTCCCAGCTCTGGGCCCTGGTTTTGGGGTGCTCTTCCAGGGAATGGCAATGGTGGGAGACACGGCAGGAACAGGGACAGGGACAGTGCTGACAATTCCATTACATGTTACAACTCCATTAAGTGTTGTGCTGCACCTCGTCTTTCCTTCTATCCCATAATGACACTGGGGGGGGGAAAGGAAGAGAGGGGATTGTTTATATCTAAATCCCATCCTCCAGGAATGGGAGCAGGGCTCCACTTATCCTTCAGTGCAGTGATGGTGGAATAGAATTCCTGGTTAATAGATAAGGTTCAGTTATTCTCTGTGAAAAACCATTCCCTGGTGTAACAGTCCCTGTGGGAATGGGCTCTGGACAGTCATCAGAGCCCCCCTAAACATCCCCAAACTTCTTTCAATCACTCATCCAGGATGCCAGTGCCCTCTGGATCCATCCCTGCTCTGATGGATCCCTGTGTCTCTCTGGGTATGAACACAGGGTGAGTTAGGATTAGGAGAGGTGGCTGTGAGCAGTGGGAAGCTCCCAGAGATATTTTAGCATCAGGAGGCTCAGGGGGAACCTTCTGGCTCTGCACAACTCCCTGACAGGAGGGGACAGCTGGGGAGGGTCGGGCTCTGCTCCCAGGGAACGGGGACAGGAGGAGAGGAAACAGCCTCAAGCTGTGCCAGGGGAGGGTCAGGTTGGACATCAGAGGAATTTCTTCATGGAAAGGATGGGCAGGCCTTGGAAGAGGTGGCCCAGGGATCTTTGGAGTCCCCATCCCTGCGGGTGTCCAAGGAACAACTGGACGTGTCTGGGTTACAGGCTGGGTATTGGTCACGGGTTGGATTCGATGATCCTGGAGGTCTTTTCCAACCTTAACCATTCCATGATTCCATGATCAGAAGAAAAGCTTCATTTAGTCCCTTTCATGCCTCCCTTTTACCCTTCCTGGGGTAGAAAGTTGCTTCTTGTTATCCCTGTTGAAAGCTCTTTGTCTTTCCCCAGCAAACAGAAGTAGCTGGAGTTTCTGTTTTCATGGCAGCAGGAGCTGTGCTGCTAAACAAACACGGAGAAAGCCAAAACTTCCTGCCACTTCACATGTTTGTGTTTTGAAAACCAAGTTATTTATTTAGACAAACTGGAAAATATAACCACAAATAACCCCTAAAGTGTGCTGCTCACTTGCAGCTAGTTAACTGAAACCAGAAGAGGGAGAATTTGCTTATCCACAGATTTTCCTTCCCTCTCCAGGAAAATTCTTTCTTCTTTCCAGCCCCTTGGGTTTGTCCCATTGTAGCACCCAGTGCTTCTCCAAGAGCTAGGAGGAGCTGCAGCAGGGGGAGCACAGGGATTTAGTGATTTGCATGGATCAAAGATCTATGGAAATACCATGCCCTGGAGTGCTTTGTGCACCTGGAGAAGGCACCAAATGAAATTTCAGCCCCAAAACTCCACGTTTGACCTGGGAAAGCGAAGGCATTAATCCACAGCTCCGTGTGCTCTGTCCTGCTCCTAATCCTCTGGCTGCTGAAGGACAGCATTAGCACGGTGGCAAAGTCAGTGGGAAAGGCTCAGGACAGGCTCCTTCCCTGCGGCTCTGTCGCAGGAACTTTATCTCACATTGTGCTCCACCGGCGGAATGGGAGGGGGAAGGGAAGGGCTCCTACCTGACACGGCAGACAATGACCTGCTCCAGGGGAATATTAAAGAGCTCAGGGAACGCAAAGGCTCCATTTCCAACCCCTGCTCCAGCGTTTGGAAGGCAGCCTGGAAAGGTGTGTGCACCCCTGGGCTGGTACCCGCACTGTTGCCATGGCAACGAGCAGAGGGATGGAGCTACCAGCATCATTCTCCTCTGCACTTCCTTCTCCCTCCCAAAAGTCACCTCCCCTGGAATTAGAAATGACCCCCCTCCATCCCCTGGGAGTTCCTTTCCTTCCTGAGCTGCACGTCTGCCTTTGGTTGGGAGAGGGAAATGTGTGAGTGGGAGAGGTGATGGAGAGTGGAAAACCGGGCCCAAACTGGACTGAGAGCTTTTCCTTCATCCTGTGTGCTGCTGAATTAATCTTGGACTAATTTAGGCTGGTGTGGATGCTCTGGGGCACAGAGCTGCAGTCCATGCATGAGGGCAGCCCATGGCACAGCTCAGAGGATCAGTCTGCGTTATCTTGGAGGCTGGACTGGGTGAGGAACAGGATTTGGGGGTTGCAAAACACCTCACAGCTTTGGCATTTCCTCTGTGTTGGATTAAGCAGGGCTTGCAAAAGCTTTCACATAAAACAGGAGGTGGAAAAGCACCTCAGGGAAAGCCCCTGCCTGGAGAAGCTGCGTGGAGGCTCCAGTTGATTGTTTAACTTGGAACCAGGCTCGAGTATGGAGGATCCCACATCAGTGCCTTCCATCCCATGGGTCAGGAGCTTTCCTCATCCTCCTCCCCCTGTCCCCTCACGTTTAATTGTGTGGAGAAGGCAGATGAGGCTGAGAGGAGTGACTGCATCTTCCCATGCCTCAGGCTGGGATTCAGCAAGAGCTGGAGTCTGACTTTCCCATTATCCCTCCAGCATTCCCCAGTCTGCCTCTCCCTCATCTTTGTCACATGGGCTTGGGAAATCTGCATATTGAAATGAGGCAAATCTACATTTCTCGGCCATAGTTTAAAAATTTCCTCTCTCTGGACCCTGAGGTACCCTGAGCAGCCCAGGGAAACCTCTCATTGCTCCAAGAAGGGTCTCGGTGATAGTTCCCACAGCTCTCCTGCACACCAGCACAAAGCCTCCTCCTGCTGTACCCAGGGATTTCAGGGCCAAGGGAAGGGTCTCAGGTGACCTTAGGGCTCTTATTCCCCACACCAGGGATTGGGATGGATTTTCCTTCAGCTTGGTGCTCAACCACATGGTTAATTCAAAGCATGTGCTGGGAGTGAGCTCCACGTGCTGGGAGTGAGCTCCACGTGCTGGAATTGAGCTCCACGTGCTGGAATTGAGCTCCACATGCTGGAAGTTAACTGGGCCTTTACAAGGCTACAGACCCAGGAATGTCCCTGCTCTTGGATGTCCTCATGTTTGCCAAGAACATTTGCTTGTGTAGATGATTACAGGAACACCCCAGTGCAGATGAACCCAACTGTTTTAATTTCAGTAAATGTTCTCCCAGAGTTATCATAGAATCATGGAATGAGGTGGATGGGACCTTAAAAATCACCTTGTTCCTCCCCCTGCCATGGGCAGGGACACCTCTCACTATTCCAGGTTGCTCCAAACCCCACCCAACCTGGCCTTGGACATTTCCAGGGATCCAGGGGCAGCCACAGCTTCCCTGGGCCAGGGTCTCCCCACCCTCACAGGAAAGGATTTCATCCCAATATCCATTTAAATGTACTGTCTTTCAGTTCCCTCTTGGAGCCATTCCCCCTTGTCCTGTCACTATAATTCCTTGTAAACCACTCGTCTCCAGAGGCTCCTTTCTGCCACTGAATCCCCACAGTGTTGTTCCCACTTATCCAATCTTTCCCCCTGGTTACTGTGTGGCCTGTGAGCCTCACAGGTCGTTGCTGTTCCTCCAACACCAGCATTTTCCTTCCTTAAATATCATCCCAGTAGGAATCAGCCCCTCCTCTGGCTCATGGCAGAGCACCCAGAGCATGGCTCCATCTGCTCTGTGCCCTCCACGCCCTCCATCCAAAGGCTTTAAAGGCTGTCACTACCAGCAGTGTTCCTCTCTTTCCTCTGCCCAGACAGAGCAAGAAACAAAGGGGAAGCTCCAAAGGGGAAGGTCCTGCTTGGCTGGGCAGTGTGTAACATTAAAGGAGCTGGGAGAGCAAACCAGCTGCTGGAGGTTGATATCCTCAGAATTTCTGGAGTTTGCTTGGTCAAACAGCTAAACGAAAGGAGTAAAAAGATCTTCCTTGTCTCCCTCCATCCTTTTCCCACTTTAAATCAATGCCCTGCCCTTCCCACACATATTGGCACAACAACCCTGCCTTTCATCCTTCCCAGGAGCTGCAATAGCTCTCCTATGGTTTTCCCTTCAGCCTCTGGGCTATTCCATGCTCTTGCCTGACCTTCAGCAGGATTAGCAAGGGGAAAGTGCCTGCACCTCCAGGGTCAGCCAGAGGAACTGGAACTGCAGAAACATGGAGCTGGAAAAGCTGTTTGCACCTCCCTCAGGGATGATAGTGGCCATTACAGGGCTGGATTGGCTCTAATTGCAATCCCAACAAAGTGATATGGAAATGATGCCACAAACCACTGGGAAAGGGCCAGAAATAATCACAGTGCACAGCAACGTTGGAGTGGAGAAGAACCTGTGGAAAAACAGCCCATGGCATGGAGGAGGAACCAAAGCATTATCTGGGCTTCTGAGGCTTTGTGGATAATGATTCCTTGGTTTTTCATAGGCTCTCTCCTTCCATGGCACTTCCCTCCCCTGCACTCAGCTCTAGGAATTGCTGTCAGCCCCAAGAGCAAAACAAAGCCAACCCTTGACCTCAGAGTCTTCATCAGGGTACTCCAAGGATATTTTTGTGCAATTCCTTTTGGCTGGAGTTTAATAGGTTATTTAGCCACAAGGTTTGATGTTCTTTGGACATCCATCCATGTTTCTGCTGGACTGCATCCAACGGGCATCACCTTTTCAGGCTGCTTGGACTGCAAGGCACAGTGAGTTTAGGGATGAAAGAGCCTTTCCTGGGGAAGAAGAGCCTGCCCTTGGGGCTTGGACAGGAGAGGCAGGTGCCCTTTCAGAGAAAGAGAGGTGCCAGGGGAAAGGGGCAGTGTGGGGGCTGTTCAGACCCTCAGGGGCTTAGGAACTGGGTGTGACTCCTGTGACAGCAATGTTTTGGAAGGGTTCTATAAAGAGTCTTTAGAGAGGACAGAAAGCAGGGAAATGGCTGGAAAAGGTGCAGGGAAATGCAGATTTGGGCACCACATTTTTCAATCCAGAATCAGGATGGGTTTTCTTTGTTTATTGTCCCCTCAGCAAGGCAGGGCTGAGACAGTGCTGAGAGAGAACTTGAGCTGTTTTGGACTTACAGGGTGTGATGGGAGACAGACTTGGCCCCATTTCCAAGATCCAACTTCCCTCCCAGCCAGCCCCAGAGAGACCAGTAGCTCCCAGTGATGAGCTTCCAGCAGTCACACACTCATCACTGGTCTCTTCTCTCCATCCAAATATTAACTTCTTGAGGGGCAGAAATCCTCTGTTGGTCCTCCCAGTGTTGAGCTTCAGAAAGTCCCACATTCAGCATTGTCTTGATGCAAATCAGAACTTTGGGGAGGCAGGAATCCCCTCCTGATCCTTCCAGCTGCTTTTAAGCAAAGCCCAGCTTCTGAGTGGCAGGAATACCTTTCTCCCTCC